TTGTGTATAAGATTACCTCTACCAATCGTCAAGTCCCGAGTATGGTCCTGAATGAAACACGAAGCAGAGTAAAAATGAGCAGATGAGTTGTGACGTTTCAAGAGAGTGCTGACACTTAACAAGTTAAACCGAAATGCAGACACATATAAGACATCATCCAGAACAAGAAACTCAGAAATATGCACTGTGCCTGTATGACTAATCAGTACTCTAGTGCCATTAGGAAGAGAGACTGTAACTCCGAAAAATTTCACTAAACATTGTTAGATCTGAACAAACATGAGTAGTTGCCCCACTGTCAATTATCCAATTACCATAAAGGAGGATAGAATATAGAGTGGACAAACATTGGTGTTGAAAAGTAAAGGTGTTATGTTCGTAACGAAGGTTAGTAGAGGGAAACACAAGTGAAATCATACCAGCGGAAGATGTAGTAGCCATGGCTCCATTTTCAGTTATTGTAGCCGGGGGAGCAGAAGTTGTAGGCTCAGGTAGACGAGTGTGAGCACTGAGTTGTTGAAGTAATGACTGAACTTGATCCTGAGAGAACATGCTAAGATCAATGTTCTGAGATAGTGGAGATACAGCTGTAACCGCATTGGCTGAATTGGTGAACTGTGCCTGCGAGGGAAATGGAGGTCATGGACCAGTTTGGTATTGACCACGAGGTTGAAACTGTGGCTGTGGCTGTGAGGTAGGCTGAGTAGAAGCTCGCTGAGACATCTTATGACCAGGAGGGTACCCATGCAATTTGTAACATTTCTGTATAGTGTGTCCAGTTCGGCCACAGTGTGTACAAACTGGCCTTGGTGGTCTATAACTCGCAGCACAGGCTGTATTCTCACTAGATCCAGTATAATATCCATTATTCTGATTATCAGGATAACCAACAGGAGCAGAGGTTTGAAAGGCTACATTCTCCACTTGAGTAGAAGGCTTAATAGATTTCTGACGCTCATCTTGTTCAACCATATTGAACACATCTTCTATAGATGGAATCGGCTTTAGCATCAGAATATGCCTTCGAGTTGGCTCATAA